TCTTTGAGCGTGGTCCAGGATACAACCAGGAGTACCAACCAGTATATCAATACCTTTCCTTAGGGCAGACTCTAACAGTACAATGACACACATCAATCTAATACATGTGATATACTGTGCACAGGAATTTTATTTTCTGTGTCACTAATTTCTAATTTTTGTGAATTTCATACTTTTGGTCTGTCACAAAAATTAAATCACAAATTCTGCATTTACATTGCCATGTGATGTAGCTTGCAAGCTATAGTGTATTTGCAATTTTTGGGTGTTTGTGAATAAATAATTTTAGTGACATAAAATTTCCTTATATTATGGTAGCTAACCTTGAGGCCAGTAGGGGACTCCCCCGTATATACAGAACACAGAGAGGGACTGGGAAAGAGACTCAAACTCGGCATTGATCTGATTGGCCAGTTCTCTAGTGGGGGCCATTACTAATACACAAGGAAAGCATCCTCTTGCAGACACATCAATAGAACCTTAAGGGAGGGACTGGAAAGAGGGTATGTTAATGTCAGTATATGTATTTACCTGTTTTTAATAATCGTTCAACTAATGGTAATACAAATGAAAGAGTTTTTCCAGTACCAGTACCTAACGTAAAGAAAATTAATAAAATAATATAGCTTTACTAATTTCACAGTTTTAACAATAACTACTAGTAATACCATTTGAATAAGTGAAATCCCTCATACATGCAATGAAATAGTTAGGTGTGGCTGATTAGTAATGAAATACAGTCAAATACTAACATTTTTATTAACTAATATTAAATTAATTAATTATCTTACGAGCTTGTCTGATTACATCCTTGTTATCATAAATAGGATCAAAGGTCTTGTATTGTATAGGGAAGAGGTGGGTTATACCACGTGACTTAAGGGTTTTCCTGGATACTTTACTGATACAATACTTCTTAAAGTCACTCTCTGGGGGAGGTCCTTCATCTTCCTCTTCTCCTTTACTCTTTACAGACTCACCATTAGCATCTTTGAGGCGTTTCACCTCATGGACATCTTCAGACTAAAAGGAATCATGAGTATTTTAAACTAAGAAAGAACTCTAGAAGTTACCACGTGGTAAGAGGTTGTGCATGTGGGTGTAACCATAGGCGTGGCATTCATATGATCATTTTCAGACATTTTGTTCCGAGTTTTGTCCTCATTTTCAAGTTGTCCGGCACTCGCAGTTGAAGCCTAAAATCCAGTCAATCGAAACTGAAGAACTTTTATCAATGGCAGAGAGAAGGAAGTCTAAAGGGCCAAAAGGGAATGAGGGAGAGGAAGGAACTGATGGTTCTAAACAGAAAGGTGGGGGCGGGGAAAAGGATTATCAGCAGAAGAAATCAAGAATAGGTGGAGCTGCTCATTTTGTTCACAAGCGAGTAACAGGACAACCGAAACCGGCACCTAAAAAGACAGAAAAAAAGATTGAGCTTTTTTCTATGCCACTCACTGATGACAATGATATTGTACTACCATCAACTGAAAGAGCCACTCCTCCTACTGCAATGGAATATGATCATGATGTAAGTGTATTTGCTGTGACTGATTATTACGCTAGCCTGCAGTCAAATGACTCTAGGCTGGGAAATTAATGGTCTGGCTAGTGAGACCAGTGACTGATTGTACCGTGTATAGAATATAGACCAGTTGGTGCTAAGTATATTCATAGAATTTTAAGTATATTCAGTGTGATACCGTAAATAAAGTAAAATTTTCCTTCCGCCATTTTGGAGTCCTACTTCCAATGGTTGTTTATGGAGCGATCATGAAAAGAGCTTATTCTCCAAAAACTGCTGTATTTATTCGTTACAGCAATATTGCTACTGCTTACTGACCATCATCCAGTGTCTAGAGTTGGCTCATGGACTTTAATAAGTGCCACTAGAAGATATAGAAGCAAAGATATTACTTTCTCCCATTCTACTCTTAGTTACTAAGACTCCAAAATATATGGCAGTAGGAAAATTTTACTTTATTTACAGTATCACAATGAATATACTCAAAATTCTATGAATATACTTAGCGCCAACTGGTCTATAATTTTGGATGAGAGAAATTTTGGTGATTGGCACGTTTTAATTTGGTGAATTTGTGGCCTGTGCCATTGACCATGTGCATAATGGTTCAAAATGGTGGATTTAATTTGACAAATGGCTATCAAAAGCAAAATTTATTCCTACTAAAACAACTTATTATATGGTATTATAGCTAAGTTCACACAGCAGACTCCTCCCTTTTTTTACATTTAGCTAATTGGATGGTGTCAGCATAAATGCAAAATTTGACATTTAAAGGTTCCTGTCCTAATGGGGAGTAGACTTGCCTTTATATTTATTACACATATTAGTCACAAGCATGCATAATACTTAAGGTGAAAGTTGCCATATCTTTGTAGGTGTCCTCCTTTCTGCCAGAGGCAGTAGTACCACAGCAATCCAGTGATGATCCTGAATTGAGTCTCAAACTAGCAAGAATTGAAATGGAGAATGAACGGTACAAGAGAGAGCTTAGAGACAAGGAGAGACAAATAAAAGAATATGAAGAAGACATCATTAAATTTAGAACGCAAATGAGTCGGAGTGGAGGAGAAATTTTGCCGGTAATAGTAGACCAATCAGCTACACAAAAACTAACAAAAACTATACAGCAACTGGAGAGGGAGGAGGAAGAACTAATAGAAGAGAGGAAGGAGCTGGAGCAAAAACTGACTGCAAAGAGTGGAGAGCAAATAATGCATGATAGAATTACCCACTTAACACAATTACTGAAGAAGGAAAGGGAAGAAAGAAGAAAAGCAGAAATTTATATGATTGAGTTGGAGAAGAAGCATGCGATAGAGCTGGAGGGGATTAAACTAAAAGTGACTACAGCTAAAGCACTGCAGGACAGAGAGGAAGAGGCAGTGTTGAAAGAAGTAGAAGATTTAAAGAATGAAGCCAAAATGAGAAAAGAGGATATTGAAACTCTTGAAGCTCAGGTGGCAGAAGCAGGTGATGCTTATAAGAAGTTAGAAGCACAACTTAAGAAACAAGAAGAAGAGATTGAGGCTCGTGTAAATGAGAGGCTCAGAGAAGAAGTTGATAAACATCTTCGTGAAACCGTGAAAGCTCAGTTAACTACCCAAAAAATTGATGAGCAGAAGAAAGTCTTTGCAGCTCATGTGAAAGAGAAGGAAGATAAAGTGAAGACACAGTATGAGGTATTACTAGCTTCTAAAGAGAGGCGTATAAAGGAACTGGGAGCTGAACTGGAGGAAATAATGGAACAATTGAAACAGAAAGAAGAAACTGAGCTCAATTTACGAGAAGAAATAACTTACCTACAATTAAAGGTGAGCTGAATTACTATAGTAATGATACAAATGATACAATATACAGTATTGGTGTAGATTGATCCTGGTGATGGTGCTTCTGCTAACAATAGTCTATCAGAAGAAGATAAGCTGAGGAGAGAGCTGGAGGATCAAGCTGCCAGAGTAAGAGACCTTGAGGAAATGATTGGTACAGCCTCAGTGGAAAAAGATAAGCAAGAAGCTGTGGCAGAATTTGAAATACAGATGAAAGTAAATTATTACATGTTTATCTTAGCAACAATATTATTTTACTTTAGGACAAAGATGAAAAGATTCAAAAGTTAAAGGGACAAGTACAAAATGATGCTTTATTATCAGTGGAGCTGAGGAAGTTACTTGAAACAAATGAAAATGTACATATTTTTAATGTCCAATGATCTAAAAAAATTTGCTTTTTTAGCAATTGGCTGACACAAAGAAAATTATTGAAGAGTTAGAAGATGATCTGAGTAATAAGGTGGTAGAAATTGAAGATTTAAATGACGCATTGACAGAAAAAGAGAAAGAAATAATTAGACTAAGAGGAATCGATAACAAAGCTACTGAAATTGTAGCACAAGAGAAGAAGCAAAGTACTGTAATGCAACTAAAGGGACAGATTGATGAGCTTCTTAAGAAAAATAAAGCACAAGAAAGACAAATGGTAGATTTAGTTGAGAAAATACAATTAAAGGAAGCAGAGGTTTGTCATTATTGATAATTAGTAGGTACTCATTATTAAGTACATGTAGAATGTAATTTACAAACAAAACTTTGAATCAGTTCATTCATGAATTTTATTTATCCACAAGTACCTTTTTACGACCTGGGGGCGTAGCCCCAGGTCGTCCTATAATTCATTTCACCATAGATATACAAACACATGGTTTGGAAACTTTCGGATATTAATAACTCAGTGCCTGTTACGGGATCAAATTGGCTACCTTATAAATGTAAAATTACAAACCCTGTTTATTGAATATTTCTTGACTCTGGAGTATTACTAACACTTGATAACAATTTCATAATGTAAACACTAATAGTTGGAATCAAATAAAAGGTGTATGCATAGTAAGTTTATTAAAAACAATCGATAAATGGCAGAATTTTTCATGGCAGAAACAGCCTTAAAAATACCTACAGGAAAAAAAACAGTCACTTCATTGTAGTTCATTACATTGGAGAGTTTCCTAGGGAACCATATACTAATACCATAGATTTTCTCATGAAGTTCCGAGAGGGAGAAATTCTACCATAGGTCTGATTATTCTGGATTCCTCAATAAAACAGCCTAAGAGAAAAATTAAGATAAAAAACTCTCAGTACATTGGATAATAGCCACATAAATCGACACATCTCATCATATTAGCTGTTGTGATATCTATGTAGAAGCTGGAGGGAGAATAAGATCTCAAATATAGTAAAATGGATACATTGCACAGAGTACCAGTTCATAAAATACCTTCAAAAGAGAACTTTATGCAGCTAAAGTTTTCCTAGATAGGAGACTTCTCAAATCTTAAAAAGTCATTAGACAGTTGATTTTCTCAAGACTTTTCTGAAGAATATCCATGACTATCTATTTTTAACCCGTAACAAGCCTAGGTTTTTTTTAAGTTCTAGCCACTCCCATTGTGTTAATGAAATGATCACGCGATTCCCCTCTGTTTCCAATCCATGTGTTTGTATATCTATGATTTCACCCACGTATGATTATATTTGTATGCCCACACTTACATTTCTTCTATACACGTTGTATTGGAGAAATAACAAGCCTTAGCAACCACCCGCCCATGCATGGCCCACACTACGTAAGTGGATGTGGTTACAGCAAACAAAATGGCAGCTTACACATGGGTCAAAGTTATGTGCTTTCTAACAGCAAGAGAACATAGAGATACTGTCTAAAGACTTCTTTAGAAGCATTTGAAGGTAGAGAGTACCTCCATAAGTCTTAATAAGAACTCAGC